AAGAACATTCACAGGTACTCAAGTCATTTATATAAAATGGCATAGTATTTGTATACAGCATATGCATATCCACCCATCTTTAGATGACTTACAATATCTAACACAATGTGAATTCTATGCAAATAGTTGCTATGCTGTATTGTTTAAGATATAAGACCAAAAAAGTATATGTTTAATATAGACACAATTTAAAAAATGTAATTTCCACCCATGGATGGTTCCCAGGATGCTGAACCTCTAGATACAGAGAGCTGATTTCATACCTCATACTTTCTGTTTAAATTTTTTCCTTTATTGAGTCCAATGAGTTCATTCGAATAAATTTCACTTTTGATTAAGAGAACAAGAGTCAGATCTGTTTACATGCAAACAAAATCTAATCATATGTACTATGATGACATTTAGGTCAATAGCAAGACACACATATGATAGTTGTCCCAAAAGACTATAATGGAACCAAAAAAATGGCTCATGATGTATGACTGCATTTTTTCTTTATAAATTTATCTATTTTATAATTTTTGACTGTATTTCTAACCAGTATAGATTTTGGCATCAGAAGACAAATTTTTCATGTACAATAAATTCTCCAATGAATGTGAGAATTTTGTTTTGGCTATCTGACCAGGTGTGATTAAAGAATGTGGCAAAAAAAAAAAAAAACCCTCAGGATAGGAATCAAATAGCCTACAGCATATATGAGATGTTATCAGAAAGTTCATGGAAAAATGTGTATTATGAAAAAAAAACTAGGCATGGATTTCAAAATTTATCTGTACTAAAACTTTACATTTTAATTTCATTTTCCATAAACTTTTTCCTTTCTCTCTCTTGTTAATTCCCTCAGGGAAGGGCAAGGCATCTACAATCAGAAAAAGAAGATGTGGGTTGTGAACTCTAACAATGAGGGCTCAATAAGAGAATTCTAATTCTCTATTTCTTCTCATTTCAAATTTTAATGTTCTATTATTTGAAAGGCAGAGTGACACACACACACACACACAGAGAGAGAGAGAGAGAGAGAGAGAGAAAGAAAGAAAACCTGGAAGCCTATCTGGGTTTCCCGTGTGGGTGGCAGGGCCCCAAGAGCTTGGCCATGATGTGTTGATTTCCCAGGTACAACATTACTGAGCTGGATCAGAAGTGGAGAAGCAAGGACTCAAACTCATATGGAATACTGGTATTGCAGGTGGCAGCTTAATTGACTGTGCCACAATGCTGGGCCCTTAGCCACAATTTTTACTAAGAGATCAGACAAGGTTTTGAATTCACTAAGTTTTGTAATTTGGAAAGGTGATGGATCAAAATATGAATATTTGGTTTTTGGTTATCTTTTTCTTGTGGCTGTAAGAAATAAGTGATTTCTTAATTATGGTTATAGAAATTCCCTGTGTCTTTGTCCATGGCCTGAACTAAAAATTCAAGGAATTTGATTATCATTTACACTACCCAAAACAGTGACCATCCTACCCCACAATTCTTGAAATCTTGTTCAGTCATTACAATGCAATTTTAGAACATGTTTACTACTTTAAAAAGAAATCTTGCACCTGTTAGCAGTCATTGCCCCACATTGCCTTTGCTTTCTTTTTTTAAAGATCTATCCATTTTTTATTTCAAAGGCAGAGAGAGAGAGAAAGAGAGAGAGAGAAAGATCCTTTATCTGCCAGCCCACCCCCCAAATGGCTGCAAAGGTCTGAAGCCAGAAGCCAGAAGCCTCTTCCAGGCCTCACATGTGGGTGCATGGGTCCAAGCACCGGGGCCATCCCCTGCTACCCTCCCAGGCATACCAGCAGGGAGCTGGATCACAAGTGGAGCAGGCAGGATCCAAACCATAGCCCACATGGGATGCCAGTGCTGCAGGCGGTGGCCAAACCCACCACACCACAGTGCCAGCCCCTACTAATTTGCTTTGTATTTCCCTAGATTTGCCTATTCTGTGGCCTTTGGTATCTGGCTTCTTTGACTTAGCATAATGCCTTCTGGATTCACCCATGTTGAAACATGTATCAGTACTGTACTTCATTCTTTCTTAGGGCCAAACAATATTTCATTGTATGGAGAGATCACATTTTATTTATCCATTCATCTGTTGATAGAAATTTGGGTTGTTTCCACCCTTTGGGTATTGTGAATAGTTCTGCTATGAACATAGATGCACAAGTATATGTTTAGACAACTGCCCTCAACTGTCTTGGATCTACACCTAGCAGTGGAATTGCTGAGTCATAAGTAACTCCATTTTTAATCTTTTGGGGGAACTGACAAACCATTTTCTACAGGAACTGCATCACTGTACTTAATGATGGAGTGCTGCTTTGCATACCCAACTTTATGCATTGGTTAGACAGACAACATCCCAGTGCATGATGGGCAGTTCAAGTATTAAGGTCACTTGCATTCAGTGATCTTAATTCATTGAATTCATTCACTCTCAATCAAAGCCCAGAAAGCACAACAGAGGGTCTGAGGTGCAGCAACCTACTGGGTGTCCAGAAACTTCAATGAAGTATAAGGGCCCTGAATTCTCAAGGGAATTATTTCCTACCCTATGCTGAAAGAGTTGTCACTTCCTATGCATCACGTCCAGTAAGCATGATGTCATTAATATAGTGGACTAGCATGATGTCTTCAGGGACAGTGAAATGATCAAGTCAAAAAACAGAAGGGATAGTACCAGAGTCTTCCTTTAATTTTTCTTTCCATAATCATTCTCAGTTCTCAAGTCAAGAAGTCTCTATGGAGATTTTTCCAGCTGTCAATTTTGTTTATTTCAATTATGCATTCAAGAACTGAGGAGAAAGCCAACAGTGTGAAGGATGTCAGCTAAGACTGCACTTCTGACCAGTAGGCTACAGTAGAATTCTAAGTCCGCAGAGATTGCCGCACACTAAAGCAGGCACCTGGTTAAAAGTCAGCATACCAGGAGAAATCAGTAGGAAGGTTTTTAAAGTACACATCTGTACTGTTGTGTGTACCTGTGTACCTGGCCTCACCTTCATTCAAGGGCTGTGGCCTATGCATTAATTCCACAAGTCTGAGAATTAGATGAGGAGCCATGATTTTCCATTGTGGTGATTAAAAGCAGGATAGCTTCAGACCGACCTATCCAGCCCATTACAGGACACCATGATCAATTAGCGACCACCAGAGGGAAAAGCGACTGCAAGGGTGGGGATGCAGTGTGGAAGCAGAGGGTGAATAAGGGCATGAGAGGAAGGAGATGGACTCAGAAAGGGAACTGGCTTTTACACTTAATGAGAGAGTACATTCATTTTCTAGGGCTATTTTAACAAATGACTCCCAAACTAGGTGGCTTAAAACTAAAGAAATTTCTTTCACAATTTTGGAGACTTGACCTATCCTTTTCCTCTTTTGTGTCTTTTCCCTTCTCTTTTAAGGATACCTGACACCTGGATCTTGCACTCACTCAAGTAATTTAGGATGAGCTCATCTCAAGAACCTTACCTGCATTACATCTACAAAGACTTTTTCCCCAGTATGGATGGAAATCCATTGAAGAATTTTGAGCAGAGGAGGTAGTATAATAGCTCCTTTGAGCTGCTATGTTGTGAACAGACCATAACTGGGTAAAGTAGAAGCAGGTGGACCTGCAGGACGCCACTGGAAAAATCTCAGAAAGCAATAATGATGGCACGGACTATCAGGACAGCAGTGAAGGTTATGAAAAACCACCAGACTCTGTATTTCTTTTAAAAGCTGTGGCACAGTGGGTTAATGCCCTGGCCTGAAGCGCTGGCATCCCATATGGGTGCTGGTTCTAGTCCCAGCTGCTCCTCTTCCAATCCAGCTCTCTGCTGTGGCCTGGGAAAGCAGTAAAAGATGGCCCAAGTCCTTGGGCCCCTGCACCCATGTGGGAGACCAGGAAGAAGCTCCTGGCTCCTGGCTTCAGATCAGTGCAGCTCCAGCTGTTGTGGCCATCTGGGGAGTGAACCAGTGGAGGGAAGACCTCTCTCCCTCCCTGCTTCTCTGTAACTGTGCCTTCCAAATAAATAAATCTTAAAAAAAAAAAAAGCAAATGTGATTAGCTCGGCTAACAGAATGCAGGACTGTGTGAGAAAAATGAAGCCTATAGGAGAACTATCAATTGATTCCTCAAATTCACTTGTCAAATATGCACCAGTGAATCATCATAAAATAATGGGGAAGTAATTAACTACTCATGGATTTGTTGATAATAGGGAATTTGGTTATCTATAAAAAGTTGATTTAGATCATCATTATTGTTACCTTGCACTGAAATACATTCTAGATAGAATAAGCACAAATGTTAAGGAAAATGTAAGGGAAAAAATCTATTTTTGAGCCATAGTAAAACAAAACCAAATGCTCAATCTTTGCACTGCAGAAGAGGGATGGAAGAAAAACAACAGCTATGTGTTTTGTTTTTTTTTTTTTTTTTTTGTCAGCAGCAACTCAAATGACACAATGGCAAAAAAAAAAAAAAACCTCATGGGTTTCATACTGAAGTGATAATATATTGAATAGCTCTATCAAAATTTATTAAAATAAATTTCAGGTTTCTCTTATTTTTCTTCCATATGGCTGCTGGAAAATTTAAAAGTCTACAAGTGGCTCGCACGGTACTCTTATTGGCCAGCGTCGCTTTAGCTAGTTGTGAGTTGCAAACATCAAAAAGCTTCCAACCTCTCGGTGCCTTAATATCTGGACCGACACCAACTTGAAAGTGAAGCCATGGGAAAGCAATGAGTTAACAATTCCAGAGCGCTCAGCGGAGGATCCAGCTGCCAATACCTGAGTTAAACCGCGAGGTTGAGCAGCGACTGCCTGGGCCACGCCCACAGGTCCCAACTGGTGGGGCGCACTGCGCTCGCGCTTCCGACTCCAGCCGCCGAGGGGGTGTGGAAGGCCCGAGGCGCATGCGCACTGCAGCGATAGCGGTTGCCAAGCCAACCAATGAGATTGCCAGGACGGCCCGCGCAAGCCTCGGGACCCGCCCTCTCGGACTGACTCCACCCTTTCTCGCCCCGCGGCACGGCGGTGTACGCACGGAGCGGTGCGCTGGTGGGCGGGTCCTAGCGGCACGGCCTGACGGGACCTGGGTGGTGGGTGTCTGCGGTTGTTCCTTGGCGGCTGCCTTAGTAGTACGCACGCGGTGTAAGGCAACATGGCGGACGCGGAAGGTAAGGGGTTGCGCGACCGAGCCATGCGATTATAGGCCAGGTCTAGCCCCAAAGTCTCCAGGGAGTCGGGGTGGAGAGATGGCATCTGGGCCCGCGCTCACGGCCGGTTCCCGCTTACCGGTCGGCAGCTGGGACTTGAGCCGGTGGTGTCATTCGGTCTGGCTCCGCGGGCGAGTGCACGAGATCGAGAGGCCCTCACGGTTACTTGGCTTTGCCGGGCCTGGGCCTCTAGCCAACGATCGCCAAGCCACCGGGGGCCTGGGTCGCTGTTACAAATGATGGCGGGAGACCTGGCAGGCCGTCTTGGTAGTACCTGTGTCGCCATCAGCCCATACACCGCCGCCGGTAGTACCTCACGACAAGGGGAGCGAGAGCGGTCGCTTGGAAGAGGCACGGGAACTCCAGGGCAGGGGTTGCTCTGACCTGGGAGAAAGCCCTAGCTAGAGGCCACAAGGCCGCGTGGGCAGTCGGGTGGTCGCCTTGAAACTTTGCGACCCAGGAATGAACGCTTCTGTAGGCTGTTTAAGCCCTGCCACAGCCACGTGGTTAGCCTGTAGCATTAGGGAAGTCGACAGCTGCAACCCATGTGTTTGCCTTTGCACTTTTTTTCTCCAATAATTCTACGCCTAAAATTGATTTTCTACCTGCCTTGATTTTGCTCCTTAAACTTTATTTTATGTAGTTTTGAGAAAAATTCTCCAATCTCATTTTTGGTTTTTTAGTAGTTATTTTGTCAAAGAAGCATAAGAAGAAAAAAGACCGGAAGTCGTTGCCAGCAGATGATATAGCTGTGAGTAGAGATGTATTTTACTTTGGTTTGAATGAAAAGAAAGGTTACTTAAATAATAAATTGAAGAAAACAGTTTTTAAAGGTTTGCAGGGAATGGACTGTGGTTGAGTGGTCATTGTGTGCACTCAACAAAGTGCCAAAATGGCACAACTGCAGACACTTGGGTCCTGTCCAGCATAGATTACTAAATGGTTTCAGCCAAATCAGCTGTTCTAGGTGAATTTCTCTTTTTTATCCCACCCACAGGCCCACCATTCCTCTTTTTCTTTAAATATTTGAACTCACGGAGTGGCATTTCACCCCTTCTAAGCTACTTGGTTTCTTCTCTTTGTTTCCATTGGAAGTTTCAGTACACAGGCATGGAATGCTTTGTTTCTGTTTAAGTAACATGCACTCAATGTTAGTAATAGATTTGTTGAAAATCAGCTGACCAATCTAATAGGTTGTGTTTCTGAACTGTTGAAGGAAATACAACATGCTGAAGAATTTCTTATCAAACCTGAATCCAAAGTGGCTCAGTTGGACACTTCTCAGTGGCCCTTGTTGCTAAAGGTATGTGCATCAGGTGAATGCCTGGCTTTCACATTATTTCTAAGTATTAAACAGTTTATTAAGAATGCTTCCTGCTAGCATCCTTTACTTCAGGGAATGCCAGATGATTAAAGCAGTGTTCCTCAAAGTATCTCAAATGAAGGATGAGGTTATTGACTTTTCCCATTGTGCTGCACGCTAGTAGAATATAATTTCAGATATGTCATGGCAATTTTAAATTGCTATCAAAGTTTGTAAACAATTAGTTTTTAGTTTCTGCACTTGTAAGACAAATCTGTCTAATTGTGGGCTACACGTGGACTAGGACTGTTGTAGTGCTCAAGAGCGTGGTCCTTGAAGCTGCATCAATTTAAGCCAAACTGTATGTGACTTTGGACCACTCATGTAACTTTTCCTTTTTATTTTGTATTTATTTTTGAGTGAAAGAGAGAGAATATGAATCAGCCCTCCCCAAATGCCTTCAATAGCTTGGGCTGGGCCAAGCCAGTGCCAGGAGCCAGGAGTACAGTCTGGGTCTTTCCCAAGAGTCTGCAGGGACCTGAGTATTTGAGCCATCATCTTGCCTTCCCAGAGTGTGCATTAGCAGGAAGCTGGCTTGGAAGAGAGGAGCTCGGAGTCAAACCAAGCGCTCTGATGGTATGTGAGTGTCACAAGTGGCATATTAATTATGTGGCCAAATGCCCACCCCCAGTCATTTAACTTTTCAGGCTATTTTCTGTTCTTAGGAAAATGTACGCAATATGTTTAGCCACAATTCATGGCATTTAGCATGTCGTTTAGAAATTATTGGCTAATTAGTGGGCATTTGGTGTCCTGGTTAAGATGCCGCTTGGGACACTTGAATCTCATATCAAAAGTGCCTGATTTTGAGACCAGGCTCCACTTCTGATTCCAGCTTCCTGGTAATCTGCAGCCTTGGAGGCAGCTCAAACAGTGAATCCCTGCCAACCATGTAGGAGACCCAGATCTAGTCTCAGCTCCTGGCTTCAGTCTGGCCCAGCCTGGCTATTGTGAGATTTGGAGAGTGAACCAGCAGATATAAATAAGATCTCTTTCTGTTTGTCCTTCTGTCTTCCTCGCTCTTTATAAAAGTACATTTAAAATTTTTTCAAGAAAGTCTTGGCTATAATTTGAGCTTTTGAATAGGGTAGTTGAGTAATGAGTTGAATTGCAGTGTTTTTAGGCTTTTAGGCTAGGGTAAAAAGTTAGACATCCCTCAATCCTGTAGTTTTCATAAAGCTTTGTATGTGGGATGGTAAAGAATGATATTTGCTTGTATGCTTTAATATACTTGGGTGTCTGCTTAGCCAAATATTTCTGTCATTTAGCCAGCATATGCTTTTCTATTGTAGACCCTAGGGATCTGCTACTAAACAGGGTAGCCAAGCTCCTTGCTCTCATGAAACTTAAAATCCAGGGGTGGAAGATAGGTAAAAGAGGGTTTGTTTTTTATGAAACTAAACTGGTGATGAAAGTTGGGCTTGATCATCATTTTGGCTACTTTTGTCCCTCAGAAAATCAAAACTGTTGCATGTTTTATTCATAATCTTGCAGTGAAGCCAGTCTTCTTCATAGAGAATAATGAGTTCAACTTACCAATATTCTAGTTAGTGTGATTCTTACTAATTTGGGTGGTGTATAAGGAGCAGAACAGTTTCACAGCAGATACTGGAAATACAGTAGCAAAAATGCAAATTCAGGAATGTGAAATGTTAGCATATCATGGTTGATGATGGTGCTGGCTGTTACATGTGTAAATGGTTTATCATTAACACTATTTTGTATTGTATTGCTGCTTTCTAGAATTTTGACAAACTAAATGTCAGGACAACACATTATACACCTCTTCCTTGTGGCTCAAATCCTCTGAAGAGGGAGATTGGGGACTATATTAGGTAAGTGTGTTGGGAGCAAGCACTGTTGATAGAAACCTACAGTGGCTTTGTCTTGAATGTATAACCTGTTCGCGTGGTGAATTTTTTTAACTCTTCAGGTTTGTTGTTTTATTGCAGCATGAGAGCAAATGGTACATTAATTTTCTGTCCATTCTAGGACAGGTTTCATTAATCTTGACAAGCCCTCCAACCCCTCTTCCCATGAGGTGGTAGCCTGGATCCGACGAATCCTTCGGGTGGAGAAGACAGGACATAGCGGTACTCTGGATCCCAAGGTGACTGGCTGTTTAATCGTGTGCATAGAACGAGCCACTCGCTTGGTGAAATCACAGCAGAGTGCAGGTATGTGCAAGACAGAAGGCAGGTTTACCTCCACATTTTGCCTCTTGGAAATTTTCTTCATTAAGGGGAAAAAACCTACCCTGAAGCATGGATATGCTTTTTGTTTCTGTGTACCTTCTGTCCTCTGCCAGATCTTGGTGGGTCTACATTTGGAGTTCATAGAGGCATGTGTTGATAAATTCCGTTCATGCCACTGAGGCAGAATTCTTTCCGAGTCCAACTCTTGTCTTGTTCCAGGTTCCTTTCACGTTATGTTTCTGTGAAATCTGCACCAAGACACTGAATAATGTTGAGCTCCCAATGTCGTCGTTCCATTCCTTTCCTTTCTTTTCAAAATGTCTGCTTTTCCTGCTGTGCAAGATGGCAGCTATGGAGCATATAACAAATACAGAAAACTGAGTGGCCACACCTGACTACTCTTTTGTCATTTTTCAGGCAAAGAGTATGTGGGAATTGTTCGGCTGCACAATGCTATTGAAGGGGGTACCCAGCTTTCTAGGGTAAGTCTCTCACTTTAGGGAAGGGAAGTTGGGTCTCAGCCCTTGAAGCCTTTGGAAACAGCCACCTTTTGTGGCTGACCATGCTCCTGCCCTTTTCAATGGGCTACCCCATCCAGCCACATCCCTTCTGAGGAGCTGCTTCCCATCAGCCCTGAGCCGTCCCAGGGGTTGAAGAACGAAGCAGAAATGGAAAGAAATGGCTTTTTAGTTATTATTTGAAGAAAACCTTTTATGTTTTGTATCCTTAAGCTCCCCAAATATGCCCTCTCATCTTATTTAAGAGGCCATGTAGGGAGAGTGCTTGTTTCTATTTGTGCTTATTCTCAGGCCCTAGAAACTCTGACGGGTGCCCTCTTCCAGCGACCCCCACTTATTGCTGCAGTGAAGAGGCAGCTCCGAGTGAGGACCATCTATGAGAGCAAAATGATCGAATATGATCCGGAAAGAAGATTAGGTGGGTTGTTGGGTCTTTGAGGAACTGAGTTATCACAGGCCGCATTGGGTAGGAACTCATTCTGGAAGGTTCTACGGTAATCTTTGAAAATACTATGTGGTGAGGTCATATCATCTCTAGGCTTGATGACTTAGAAGCAGACTAACTCTGGAAAATACTCTGTATTGTGTTTATGTCTTAGGCATATTTTGGGTGAGTTGCGAGGCTGGCACCTACATTCGGACACTGTGTGTGCACCTTGGTTTGTTATTGGGAGTTGGCGGTCAGATGCAAGAACTTCGAAGAGTTCGTTCTGGAGTCATGAGTGAAAAGGTGTGTCTTCATGGAGCTAGAAGATTTAGAGCTGGTTCTGGGTATCTTGCAGCCCCTGGTGGAACTCTGCCTACTTCACACCCTGGGAAAGGCCACTTCCAAAGTGTTGAGTTCAGTTCAGGGCATCTTCCCTGTTCTGTTAATTAAACTTTGGTACACTAAAAGGGGTTTGGAGATAGAACTGGATAGAAAGTATCACTATTCGTTTATCTCCCAGCCTACAGCAGTGCTTTCATAAAGTGAATCTATAAACAGTTACAGGTGTCCAGAAGGGAGGTGAGTATGAAGACGCTCAGGGTTCTTCATGAGCTTGCACTAGTGGAAGAGATGCATGGTATATGAGTGTCACAAGTGGTATCTTAATTATGTGGCCAAATGCCCACTGCTGTTTGTGGACCTGTGAACTGTTGGAGATCTGAAGACACTGAGTTTTTTCCTATGTACCTGCTTTTCAGGACCACATGGTGACAATGCACGATGTGCTTGATGCTCAGTGGCTGTATGACAACCATAAGGACGAAAGCTACCTGCGCCGAGTTGTTTACCCTTTGGAAAAGCTGCTGACATCTCATAAACGGCTGGTTATGAAAGACAGTGCAGTAAGTTCTGCGATGGGAATGCGCATTTGAACAGAAACTGACTCCAAAGATAGGATATGGTCTTTTTTTCTTGGAAACTCTATGTGCCTAAGAAACCTTGACTGACTTAAATTGTTCTAAGACAAAGTTAGTTTAATGGGGAAAAGTTGAGATTAGAGAGATTCAGAGCTGTAACAAAGTTATTTATCCTGTAGAAGTTTGAATAAAATATTTTGTTAGTGTAAATAAAACATAGTTTGAGGCTGTGAAAGCGAAACTTCACTGAGGTTATCAACCTCTTTTTTTTTTTTTTTTTTAAAGATTATTTTCACTCAGGTGGCTGTAATAGCCAGAGCTGAGGCAGATTAAGGCCAGCAGCCAGGACCTTCCTGCAAGTCTCCCATGAGTGCAGGGCCCCAAGCACTGAGGCCATCCTTCACTGCTTTGCCAGGTGCATTAGCAGGGATCTAAATGGGAAGTGGAGCAGCTGGGACTTGAAGCAGCGCCCATAAGAGATGTAGATGTTGTAGGCAGTGACTTTACCCACTATACTACAGTGCCAGCCCTACAAGTCCTTTTCTTAACATATTCACTAACTTGCCTTTTACTTGAGAGTATTCCTATTAGCAATGCAAGTAAATATTTTTCAGTTGGGGTTTCTTTTGTAGTGGTCATTTTAAGAATAAGTTTCTTACTTTCCAAGTAGTCCAGAATTTGTTAAGTATGATCAAAGAATGTAGTTTATAAATTTTGTTAAAGACTAGGCAGGCATGAAAATTCTCTAAGGAGAGAGTAGAATATGGGTAGCAAGAGATCTAGATGAGTGAAGATGGTATAGCATAAGGCAGATAGATTCCAAAGTGCTGTTGAACTGAAGAGGTGGGCTTCTACCCATTGGCCTATAAGTTTCATGTCTAAACCTTTGTGTGATAGAGAGGAGCAATTAAGGAAAGCTAAGACTGATGTGTGTGTGTGTGTGTTTATAAAAAAAAATAAACTTGTATGTCCCAATTGCATAATTAATTGGAGATCAGTGAGGAAGTAGTTACTCTTTCACAGCTAAAGGATCAGGGAAATGGGAGAAGTAGCTGTTAAATCTGTCTAATATTTTTGAGTCATGCATGAAAAGTGCTGAATTCTTCTGTGCCCTGTGGATGCGGTGTGGGATCAGGCTGCAAGGCAGCGGTGGAGTCCTCACATGCGACACCGTCTCTGCAGGTGAATGCCATCTGCTATGGGGCCAAGATCATGCTTCCAGGTGTTCTCCGATATGAGGATGGCATTGAAGTCAATCAGGAGATTGTGGTCATCACCACCAAAGGGGAAGCCATCTGCATGGGTAAGAAGGGATATACTGCCTTCATCAGTTCTGGTACCATTGCTGCTAGACTCACTGAGAATAGGTCCCCACATCCTGGTTCCTTAAAGTTGTTCTAATCATGGTGTTTTGGGGGTGAGGGGAGGGATTGGTCAGCCAGGTACTTGACTCTAGTGAGAATACAGAGAATCATTTGTGACAAGTGAGAAAAGATTGTTTATGGTAAGGCAAAAAGCCTTTTAGTCTACTGCTTGTCTGCTTCCACTTAACTTGTGGTTTGTATCAATGTTTACCTTGTGAAAGTTTAGTTACTATTATATTGTCCCTTAAGTCTTTAAATGCTTTGTGGCCCTCTTAATAAATCCTAAAATTTATTTGTGGCCCTTAAATAAATCCTATAACAGGTATAATTTGCATCAGAAATACAGCATGTGTCCAGAGCCACAAACCTGCCTGTGTATCTCTTTGGTTGGGTGTTAAGTGTTTCTTGTTAAGTTTTATGCCATCTCAAAGGCTTCCTTCCCATAATGGATGGAGGGTTTTCTCTGTATGCTCAGGATGAGCATAAGATTGTAGAGTTCACAGCCTTAAGGATTTTTAAGATTTATTTGTTTGTTTATTTATTTGAAAGCTAGACTTACAGAGAAAGAGAGATCTTTCACCCAACAGCTAAGGCAGGACCAGGAGCCAGGAGCGTCTTCAAGTCTCCCACACAGATGCAGAGGCCCAAACACTTGGGCCATCTTCCACTGCTTTTCCAGGCATGTTGCAGGGAGCTGGATTGGAAGTGGAGCAGTCAGCACTCGAACTGGTGCCCATATAGGATGCTGGCATCTCAAGCAGTTGCTTAACCTGCTGTGCTGCAATGCTGGTCCCTTAAATGGGGTTTAAAGTGGTATAAAATAGTAGGATTGGAGCTCATCCATTCTTTTCACTTCAAATCATTCTTTTCTCTCTCTCCAATTCATGTAGCTATTGCACTAATGACCACCGCAGTGATCTCTACATGTGACCATGGTATAGTAGCAAAGATCAAGAGAGTGATCATGGAGAGAGACACTTACCCTCGGAAGTGGGGTTTAGGCCCAAAGGTAAGGGGGACTGGGTGAAGTGCCCTGTTAGCTGGTTTTGCCTTGGGATTTGCATTGTTGATGAGCATAAATAGGCCCTGTATCAGACCTTAGGGAATGGTGCATTTTAGCCATGCTAGCAGCTGTTGAGTACAGAGGTGCCTGGTACCTCGAAACGCCACAATGACCCTGGTGTTGACCCTGGTGTGGAGGTCTGGGCAAGTCCTGTGTTTGTTCCTGTTGGAGGGAGTAGCTGAGTTGCAAATGCTCTGCAGAACAGCGTGAGGTTTTGCTGAGGACACACAAGGGAGGAACCAGGTGCTGTTCTGTCCAAAGTGTGTTTAAGCCACCTGTGTGCAGTCACACTGCCTTCATAGATGCCATTCTAATGTTGAAACCCTGACATCCCACCAGGCAAGTCAGAAGAGGCTGATGATCAAGCAAGGCCTTCTGGACAAGCATGGCAAACCCACAGATAGCACCCCTCCCTCCTGGAAGCAGGAGTATGTCGACTACAGGTGAGGACAGGATGTTTCAGAGGCAAGGATGGGCGGGGACAGCACATCCCTGACCACAGGTAAGGGTGGAAGGTTTCAGAGCCTGTGGCAGGAGTTGTGTGTAGGAACCAGTGTCGCAGCTACATTTTCCTTACTGGGCTCCATGAGGCTTGGCTGCCGTGGCTCATGGAACTGAAGAGGGAGCCAGTCTGCAATAGTAAGTGGTGAAGTTTCTTTTCTCTCCAGCCTTGGTATTCTGATGGTGGCTTTAGGCTTGCAGCTTATCACTGAGGGTAACAGGATACAGTATCCCTGCTGTGAAAACCTAATGTGACTTGCTGCTACCTCTCCTTGCAGCGATTCTGGCAAGAAAGAGGTGGTTGCTGAAGCAGTGCAGGCCCCACAAATAGTTGCCGAAGCAGTGCAAGTCCCCAAGGTGAGTGACATGTCCTTGGAGACTTGATCTAAGAAGTGCAGTTTGCCTTATCTTGGTGACTGTCTGCCCTCCTGGCACACCATGGGGCACATGTAGGGTAGGCTGGCATTAGAGCACAGAAGAGAAACCTTGTAATCAGAAAGCATCTATTTAGGGCTAATGGGCATCTCCTATCTCTGACTTACGGAACCTTGCCTTTATACTATTGTTTTCATCTCAGCGGAAGCGCGAGAGTGAGAGTGAAAGTGATGAAACCCCACCAGCAGCTCCACAGTTGGTCAAGAAGGAAAAGAAGAAGAAGAAGAAGTCCAAAGCTGCTGCAGAGAGTGGGGCAGAGCCTGCAGATGGGGTATGCTAGGGTCTGGGCTGGCTGGGTACCCGGGTGGTGCTGGGCTGCATGATGGTGGGTACTGCCCTATGTTCCTGGATGTCACAACTGCTTATGATTCCAATTCTACCGACGGTGGGTGGGGAGCTTTGCTAATCTGGATGTAATGACTCACTTTGTGTTTCTCTCCAGGACAGTGACACCACCAAGAAGATGAAGAAGAAGAAGAAGAAAGCTAAAGTCGTAGAGGTGGTGTCTGAGTAGCAAAGACCACTTTGAGTATTGCTTCAGCTGGGAGGAGAAAGGAAGTAAAGCCTTACTGCGGAAGTATTGTTCCTCTTGATGAGGCAGTGGAACAAAGGCACATTGTAGCTGCTACTTGAGACCTGGGTGATGTTACCTGGTGTGGGCTTTCCATCTTGTCCTGTTTTAAGGATGTGGGTGACAAAAGAGGCAGATTTTATGCCACCAACTGCTCTGTTTTGGAGTGGGAAGCCTCACTCACCTTTAGACCCACTACTGCCCAGTGACTGTCTGCAGCTGTTTCTAAAAACATCCTAGTCCTCTCCTCGTGGGCTGTCTTTTTTTTTTTTTTACCACCTCCATTTAAAAGTGTATATAACAAGTCTGCCCAGTGAAATGGTATTGAACCCCCAGTAAGTGCACCATATTCCTGGGGGAGTCGGGCCCCCATGTCCTGGGAGGAGACTGTTCTGTTTTGGTGTCGGGTTGAGGCTTCCATCTTGTGTGCTTCTCCAAAGCTTGAGTGTACAGCTGTGTTCACCTAAAGCCATCTGGTCGTTTGTGTCTTTGACAGAAGCTGAACCGTTCCTGTACCCTCTTGTTTTAACCTTCATTCACTTTTAAAGAATGGAATCACTCATTGCTGGAAGCCGAGTGTTGTAATTTGTACTTATTAAAGTTGACTTACTAAGTTTTTTAAGTATTCCTGTTGGGTTTTCTAATTGTTGGAGATTTCAGACTAGCGTTGTCAATGATTTTCCTTTATGTTTAGCTAGCTTCGCATTCTAATTCCGTATCTTAAAACATTCACTACCCTGAGAATGGGGTGGGGCAGGTGCTTACCACCAATGAAGAACAGACAGGATCATGAAGCTGTCAGTTCATTGCTGGCCACAGGGTGGTCAGGGAGGAGTCTGAAGGCCTTGCTGCCTCACATTGTTAGCAGGAAGAAGGTCTAGGCTCACTAACAATGTGGTACCAAAAAGCCCAGAAAGAATACAAAACACAGCTTAGGGGTGCAGGTGGGGGGACCTTTGAATGCAGTGAAGACAGGTCCTGAGATGCAGCCATGGCAGGAGGCTAGGAAACATGGTGCACCCTGCGACTTGGCTCATCCTTGCTTCTGTTTCCCCTTCTAAATGTAAGTTTAAATCTGTGCCCGAGATGGCCTTTGGTACAGACAATTCGGGTCGTTTTCTGGCACAAAGAATGAGGCTTTTTTCAAGGCCACAGATGTTCATTTTCTTAGTCTCAGCTGGACACAGGAGAGGCATCCTGCATTGATAACATTGTCCAGCAGCTTGAATGAAGTAGGAAACATCTGCCTTTGCAAAGGTTTGGGTTGCACTGGAAACTCAGAGAATTACAAGTTTGTTGGCATTTTAACACAGCAACATTTTTATTACTCGTGAGAGTTTTCTAGAGTGCACATTCTATTGCTCAGCTGTTTCATTATAGCATTTTAGAAAGTCGCCATTAAAAATGCTTTCTGCAAACTAAAAGGCAAGTGAAAGGCTGAGTGTAAAGGAAGGTGAAGGAGTACAGGCCTTAGAGGGACAGGGTCCTTTGTTCTTCTGTGCATCAGCTTTGATTGGCAGTTGCATTTTGATAATCCTTTACTGCAGTTGATTCCAGAATTTGAAATTAAGATCAGTGCCCCATCTCTCAGTAAGATCCAACCCCAGCCCTTCAGGAGCCTGAGCAAAAAGACCTGAATCCTGTTGGCCTAAGTAAGATAGTTGTAGAGAGCCAGAAGCTGACAGAACCAGTTGCAGCAGCGACATTTGTCTTAAAGCAAGGGAAGTAGAGTTCCAAATGCTGGAGAGGGCCATAGTGTGCCTCCACTGTGGGCAAGCTTAGTAAACCCAGGAGACAGGGACCCACTGTGGAGACCTGCATGCTTGGTCAAATGCTTCTTGCAACTTCTTAAGGGTTTCATCAACGCTGTTATTGACCAGCGAGAGGTCAAAGTAGTGAGCATACTGGCTGCGGATGGCCTCGGAGTCCTTCTGCAGCTGCTGCAGGGCTTCTGTCTGCAAAGAAGAAAGAGTCTGGGATGAAGCAGAATGCAGCACCCCCAGCGAAAGAAGCCAGCAACAGGTTTTACAGGAGCATTCATTGCTGTTACCAGTTCCCTGGCTCCCTGTCACCTACTTAAAAACTCAAATTCTAAAGATGACAACTCCTGAGAAACAGCAGGCTGTAGAGAGTTCAAGGACACTGCAGTTCTTGGAGGTTCTCTAATCAGAGCCTTCCAGAAGATAGCATGGACTTCACTAATGTCTCCCAGCCTTTCAAGCAACCATCAGAGCTGCAACCCCAGGACAAAGAGAATGCTGGCTGTACAATCCCAGGCCTGTTTGTTGGAGCCAAAACCAATCAGCTATGAAAAGACTGATCATTTAATACATCAGAGTAAAATGTAACAACACCAAAAGACATGCCAGATTGAGGTAAAAATAATACTTTGCAAATGCGCTAATTACCTAGAAATCAGTGAGAGGTCAATAACTCAATGGAAAAAGCTAAGGCCATGGCACAAAAGGCAATACAAAGGGCTCTTAACCTGTTAGGTCCCAGGTTCATTTCCACTTTATTTCAAGGATACCATAAGTGTTATATTGACCATTCAATCTCTGTTGCCCCAGCTCCCCCTCCTTGAGCCACCTGAGACCACTAGAGTGTGAGGGTTTGCACAAGTGTACAGCTCTGCCAGTTCACAACTAGGTCTGCTCTATTCTCTACCTATCATGGGTGCTGGCCTAGCTGACCCAGAGTAAACACCCATGACCCCGCACAACCTCTTTCTCACCTGAGTGCCCTGGTCAGTTGGTGCAATGAACACAATGAAAGGTGAAAGTTCTGCTGTCCGAACAATCTTCAAGGTCTACAGAAATGAAGGGCATGAGGAAGAAAAGGGAAAAATTGTAATTAACTGTCATAACACATTCTTCCTAATGGGCAGCTTTGGGTTTTATCAATCCCAGTATTAACTATCCTTCTCAGTACTACTGCTCTTGTTCCATGCTGACCCCAAGAAGTTCCCAGGAGCTTTGCTCTATAAAGCCCCTTCCCCATCTGTTACATGGCTGAACCCAACCACTCTTGCCTTTCCATGCCTACTTACTTGGGGCTCAATGTCAAGGATGGCAATCTTGTCCTGCTTATGAATCTGGTGCACTGTTTCAAATTTTGTGCCAAACATGTTGCCCTGGTAACTGCCGAACTCCAAGAACTCGTTGGCAGAGATGTTCCTAGTCATCTCCTCCGTTGAGATGAAGTGGTACTCCTTCCCATCTTCCTCGCTCTTCCTTGGCGGCCGTGTTGTATCTGTGGACAAGAACACCCAACCCCCGATGAACTCCCATCCTTGCCATCTCTTAGGTGTTCAAATGGCCTTTGGTGCAGTCGTGGAAGCGTCGATCACATGGGCTGACACTAGATGGCGACAGAGACCAGGAAATCTCCCATCTGCCTAGACCATTCAGAGCCCAATGTTTTGATTTCTATGATTATTTTCCTTACAGAAAGTTACATCTTTGGGCCGGCGCCGTGGCTCACTAGGCTAATCCTCCGCCCTGCAGCGCCGGCACACCGGGTTCTGTCCCAGTTGCCCCTCTTCCAGACCAGCTCTCTGCTGTGGCCCGGGAGGGCAGTGGAGGATGGCCCAAGCGCTTGGGTCCTGCACCCCATGGGAGACCAGGAGAAGCACCTGGCTCCTGCCATCGGATCAGCGCAGTACGCCGGCCGCAGCGTGCTGGCCGCGGCGGCCATTGCAGGATGAACCAACGGCAAAGGAAGACCTTTCTCTCTGTCTCTCTCTCTCACTGTCCACTCTGCCTGTCAAAAAAACAAAAAACAAAACAAACAAAAAAAAAAAACAAAAAAACAAAAAAACAGAAAGTTACATCTTTGAAGGCACCAAATCAAAGAATATTAAAACTCAGAAATGAGGAACTGACAGCTGAAATATTTTAAAAATAGATCTATGGGCTACGGTCAGGTCAGCATTTCTTGAAAATTTAAAGTTTCCTTTTCATGAGTTGGAAAGAGTGCTTTGCTTTGCTTCAAATTTACATTGGTAAAAGTGGAAATGTTCTTGGGGTCGGTGCTGTGATGTAGAGGGTAAAGCTGCTATCTGCAGTGCCGGCATCCCATATGAGTGCCAGTTAGAGTCTTGGCTGCTCCACTTCTGATTCAGCTCTGTGCTATGGCCAAGGAAAGCAGTAGAAGACGGCGCAAGTCCTTGGGCCCCTGCACCCACGTGGGAGACCCAGAAGCAGCTCTGGGCTCCTGGCTTCAGATCAGCACAGTTCCAGCCATTGTGGCCATTTGGGGAGTAAATCAACAGATGGAAGACCTCTTTCTCTCTGCCTCTGCCTCTCAAATTTTTTTTTTTTTAAAGTGGAATGTTCTTAAATGTCATATTTTCTATTACATAAAATGTCTGCTGGGGCTGGTGCTGTGGCATAGTGGGTAAAGCTGCCACTTGCAGTGCCTGCATCCCATCCAGCTGTCTGCTATGGCCTGTGAAAGCAGTGGAAGATGCCCCAAGTCCTTGGGCCCCTGCACCCACGTGGGAGACCTGGAAGAAGCTCCTGGCTCCTGGCTTCAGATCAGTGCAGCTCCGGCTGTTGTGGCCAATTGGGGAGTGAACCAGTGGATGGAGGACCCCTCTTTCTGCTTCTCCTTCTCTGTGTAACTCTGACTTTCAAATAAATAAATAAATCTTTTAAAACAATCTGCTAAGTCAAATATGGCCCAGATACTGGAGCTTGAATCACAATCTCCTCAACCTCTGCCCTTCCCTCTTCCACTGAAGAAGTCAGCTGGTTGCTTCTACTTACCCATCAGCCCAGGGGTACTTGTGTTCTGCACAGAAGGTGCCACTGAAATGACATTCATTGTGGCCCTCCTGGCAGGGAGACAACTTCCAATTATGCACACATAAAACATCAAGTCAGGGAAGTTAGGAATAAACAAAATATACCAGGTTTAGAATTTGGTTTTCTATTCTGCTTAGCAGTGTCTCTTTATTCAAATATACACTGCAGATTCACTTCCAAGCATGGCAGACTTATCTAATTTCCAACCTAATCACTGACCCTGTTCTCCATACCTAGCAGTGCCACGGAGATTTCTGGGCTGTTCCTAAGCACTGCTTTGGTTAGAGGACATCTCATGAAACTCAGAGGCATTCTCAACACCACACAACAATGGGATACCTGAGGACATCACCATACATCCACTGAGTGGACTCTCCAAGTTAAGTAGGCAGACAGTATAGGACCATGAGAAAATGAAAAAAGCCTAATAGGTATACATTTTAGTACTTGCATAATATTTTTAAAGCAGGATAAAAACTACAGCTTCTGTTAAGAGAACACTAAGAAAACAGTTATTTTGCTGGTTGCAGTGTTTCTGGGAATAGATTTTTATCCTTCCAAATTTTCTTTGGTTTTGATAATAAAACATTTTAAAAATAGTAGGGGCTAGCACTGTGGCGCAGCAGGTTAAAGACCTGGCCTGAAGCACTGGCATCCCATATGGGCACCAGTTCTAGTCCTGGCTGCTCCACTCCTGATCCAGCTCTCTGCTGTGGCCTGGGAAAGCAGTAGAAGATGCCCCAAGTCCTTGGGCCCCTGCACCCATGTGGGAGACCCAGAAGAGGCTCCTGGTTTCGGATCGGTGCAGCTCTGGCTGTTGCAGCCATCTGGGGAGTGAACCAGCAGATGAAAGACCTCTCTCTCTGTCTCTACCTTCTCTGTAACTCTGTCTTTCAAATAAATAAGTAAAAAAGAACAATAATAGAGCACTATGATATTTCAGAGGAACAGTTGTGCTAAATGTGGTGCCAAAGCTCCACCCTCTAGGCTTTCCCTTCTCCAACATGGCCCGGAGCTACTTACACGGGGCAGGGTAGACAAACTTCTCTGGATTCTGGCTGAGCAGTGCATTCTTAATGTGGCTGCGACCCACCCCGCTGGCTCCTGTGGAAGGAGAGAAGAGGGTTTCCATCTCTTCCCCCCAAAGACAAAGGTGGAGATGAGATGTGGACTTCCAACTGTGAGCCTTTGAAACTGCCAACACAGGAAAGTGAGTTGGTGTTGCATCTTGGCTGGGCTTGGGGCCTTTTAGCTGTGTAGGAACTGGGGGCCAGCAAGTGGGGCTTTCTGTTTATTTTCTGGGGATGTCAATTTTCTGAACCCTTCAAAATGAATGGAAATTAATTAAGCCAGTGATTTTACTGGAAAGTTCACTAGAACACAGATCCTCTAAGCAACTGCTTTGCCTGTGAGGATGGGAAGGTAAGCCACCTGCCACACACCTGGGTAGGGAGCAAGGAGCCTGTTTTGGGTCAGGGTCACTGCTTGAGGGGAAGAGTGCTTCCAAGGGTTGTGAGGCTTAGTTTCACTCGTTAGGTGGACCCAGAAGACTCTCTACACCTGCTCTGTATGGACAGAACCTAAGAAACCTCACACTATTTTTCCTCATTGCCGTTTTTGGATGTGAATGTATGAGGCAGGGCAGGAAAATAAGGACAGAAATGTGTTCTTGAACTAGCAAAGCAGCATGGGGAAAAGAAGATACCAATCAGCACCAGGGTCTTCCTCTTGAATGCAGGAAGCCGAACAACTTCCTCGTAGGAGACAACATCCAACTGGTCAAAAACTAGAGACAAAGAAAAAGCAAGCAATGTTCATTTCCAGAGCTGAGGTGGGAAAGACATGCCCGGGTGAAGGAGCTGACACCTAGCTACCCTGGTCCTATTTAACAAGCATGGAAGGACTGACTGGACCTGAGGCTGGGGCAGTGGGGGTGGGGGGAAAGTGTTGCTTTGTTGTGCCATGAGCGTGTTTTTTTGAGTAAGGGAGTAACATGATCTCATTCAGATTTTGAAAGCAGAACCCTGGATGCTGGGTAGGAACTAGACTGCAGGGGAAGGGATGCAGTGAGTGGTAAGATCCTTGGCCACTCCCACTTCCACCTGACTCTATGCACAGTATTTATCCTCTGGAGGAACTGAACTGAGCATCGACAAGACTTTGACTGGTTTCTGATTTTTTTGGACCCTACAGGTCCTCCTTCTTCTTCTATTTTGCTGAGTCAACTTTCCTAGTCTCCCCGCACTTGCACACTCTCCATGGTTTCAGTAAACTGATAGCTCTCTATTCCAACACAGAGGTGGCTCTCATCTCCAGCTCCTTGGGACACACTATGTGGCCAGCTCAGAGGCACTCAACTCCTGAAATGTTCTTTATCTTATGAACCAAGCCACTACACATGGAAAACTGGGTCTCATCCTTGTCTACAATGGAATGGTAGATTATGCAGTCAACCCTCCATGTCCCTGCATTCTACCAACTGCAGGTAGAAAATATTTGGGGAAAACATTGCATTTGTACTGTTTTTCTTACCATTATTTCCTAAATAGTACACTATAAGAGCTATTTACTTAGCATTTTACATTGTGTTAGGCGTTATAAGTCATCTCAATGTGATTCAAAGTCTGTAAGAGAATTTGTGGGGGAAATACACACAGACTACATCACTTTATAAAAGAGATGTGAATATCCACAGATTTTGGTATCCAGGGGAGGCCTAAAACCAATCCCCCATGGATACTGAGGGATGACTATTTTATTTCCAACCACAGTAGGTTACAAGCAAAGCCAGAATTAATTCTTGGGAAAATATTACTCTCTGGGTGTTCAAACCTTGTGTCCAAGTTATGCTGAAGGTACTGACACACTGGAAGGCTGCTCACTTGGTTACCTGAGGGGTGAGGTGATGAGCAGGTGTAGGCAGATCACTTGCCTCCCTTACAATTAGTCACTGTCTCTGAGTGCACTGAGCTTATGAAAATGAGTCGAATAAAAGAAAACCAGAAACAATGACACACTTTCTATAGAATGCAGATTGCACACTGTATCATCTCCCCTGTCCTGCTAGGCACAGACATGGGGCACATTAGTGTTTCCCCAAGCCTACAGCAAAGGGGCTCGGGATGCTTACTTGAGCTGTGCTTCGCCAGGTACTTGTCTTTGTACTTCTTCTTCTTCCCAAAGGGACTGCAGCTTGGGGCTTCACTTGGGGCACACTGTGCCACACTTGCCACTCGCCTGGTAGAGAAGATAACCAAGGGATCAGCGGTGCTCAGTGGGATGGGAACAGGTGATCTTCACTGTCTACACTACACTTTCAAACTGATTTCCTTCTGTCTCTGCACTAGCCAGAAAGCCTTCTGTGGGGATGGCCTCCTGGCTTCAGGTACCTCTCTCCCCTCTGCCATCAGACATTCATGTGGGTATCCCAGTCAGTACCTGGTGGTGCAAATGTTTCAAGGAGGAAATGAAATCCACCACAGACTCACTCAATGCACTGCCCTCAGGAAGGAACCCGGATCCTTGAGTCTGTGGCTGGTGTGTCTCAAGAGATTGCAAACACAGCCCACAGAGAACACCCTGTGTGTGCTCTAGTGGTCTTTATCTGTTATGTCCCTACCTCACTCTACATTGCACATTCGTACATCTATGCATAAAACACACACCTGTACAACTAAAACGACAGCTTCAAAAACAATGTCTTCCATACTATGGTTAAGATATTCTAATATGCAAGCCAATTTTGACGTAGCTTCTCTGCTTCCTGACTTATGGCTGGACCCTCAACCACGAACCCTCCTAAGCTCTTCTCTCGGGGATTTTAATGTAATAAGCTGTGCAACACATCTGCTGCTCCGATCTGGTAGTGTTCTTCATGAGGCATTAGCCCTGAAAATAGCCTAACGGGACCTTTTCACCAATATCAGCCAGGGCCCACACTGTGTTGCCTTTGTGGGTTTAGTGCTAAATGCTTATTTCATGTGGTTCGCACCATGTTACTTCAACTGGTTCATCACTGGAGATGAGATCGACCAGGCATCTGATTAAAACTAAAATCCTGGGGACCAGTGCTATGGAGTAGCAGGTTAAATCGCTACCTGCAGTGCTGGTATTTCATATGGGCACGGGTTTGAGTTCCGGCTGCTCCACTTCTGATCCAGCTCCCTGCTAATGTGCCTGGGAAGGTAGCAGAGGATGTGCTGCACCCACATGAGAGACCCAGAAGAAGCTCCTGGCTCCTGGCTTTGGATTGGTGCAGCTCTGGCCATTGTGGCCATTTGGGGAGTGAACCAGTGGATGGAAGACCTCTCTGCCCTTGCCTCTCCCTCTCTGTAACTCTGCCTTTCAAATAAATAAACTTGAAAACACACAAAAAAATCCTAAAATCCTGGCACATGATAAAGCACTCTGGAGGTAGAAGGAAGGTGAGCACTAGCTATGTAGTCACTTGGAACTGTCCTCTGTGGATGTTTCTACCACTCCTACGGACATGAGATGTAGCCTGGGACTAAGTGAGCAACTGACTCAGGGACAAGAATTATTTCTTGTACATGCCAGCGATTTGTATAAGGACACATATAGTTAAAATGGTACTGTTTTCTGAACTCAGAAGAAATCTTCTCAGAAACAGGCCAGAGTGCTGGAGGGGTGTGAGTCTGGGAGGGCTGTCACTTGCTGAGTAAGCACAGGGAAAGCATTTGAGAAGACAGAGGTCCACATAGGGATGAAGAGCTGTTCGGGCTGCTTTCTGTGGCCTGTCAGTGAAACTCATCAACTCTGTGGCACTACTCCTGCCCCCTGTCACCCCCTTATGCCTAGGAAGCTAGGAAGTCTGCTTAGGAGAAGCAAACTACACATAGGAGGACAAAGTTTTGAAGCTAGGTAACTATTTATGGCAGGCATTTGCCCTTTCCATCTGTAAACTCCACCTGTACAAAAGCAGCTCACCATTCTTGCAGCTCAGGGGAAGGGATCAATCCTGCTGACTCCTTGGAAGAGCCTTCCACCCGCCCCTGCCACCAGTTGCTATCATCCTTGTTGATGATCTGGATAATGTCCCCAGTGACAAACTTCAGGCCTGCCTCCTTGCAGGGAATCAGATTGTCTTTTTTAGGATCATAGTCAAACTGTGCTCTCATGAACATCTGAAAAAGAAGGCAAAGTGAACTGCAGGCAGCAACTTCAAGCAAAACACTAGCCCCAGAGCAGGTAAGCAGAAAGTCACGCTGCAAATAAATAGGGTCAGGATTGACTGAGCAACAGGAAGGCAAGAAATGGTGGAGGGGCCCCGAAAAGAGGCAAATCAGAACACTGAAGCAACTGAACTACTATTATGGTTGCAGTTGCTGGATCTAGGATCTGTCTAGGAGCACAGAGCAACTACCATGTGAAAATGTATGCCTAAAACCATATTTTAGGAGCTGACATTGTAGCATAGCAAGTAAAGCCACTGCCTGCAGTGCTGGCATCACATATGGGTGCCAGTTTGACTTCTGGCTGCTCCACTTCCAATCCAGATCCCTGTTAATGCGCCTGGGAAAGCAGCGGAAGATGGTCCAGGTACCTGGGCCCCTGCACCCATGTGGGAGACTAAGAGAAGCTCCTGGCTCCTGGCTTTAGCCTGGCCCAGCTCCAGCCATTGAGGCCATCTGGGGAGTGGACCAGCAGATCGAAGATCTCTCTCTTTTCTCTCCCCCTCTGTTACTCTGCTTTTCAAATAAAATAAATCTTAAAAAAAGAAAATATTGTTATGAGCATCTTAAATAAACAGACTTTTTCTAGAGGACAGCCTGGCAATAAAAACATGTCAGAAGTCTTGAAATGTTAATAGTCCTTGGCCCTACAGTAATCTGAAATAAACAGCAACAACATATAGATAAGCATGTTCATCACAGTGTTATTTATAAAGTGAAGTATTAGAAGCAGCTGAATTTTCCAAGAATAGAGAACTGATTAAGTATGACCATCTACTGGCCATATTACTATGAAACTGTAAAGATCAATTTGGGGAGTAATTGATGCCCTTGGGAAATGCTGTTGATATGAGCATCTCTAAACAAAAAATACCTAACATACTTCTTCAATTTGATAATGAACATCTATACCATACATTTACAATGAAATATTGAAAGCTTTCTCCTTAAAATGAAGAAATAGAAAAGGATGTTTGCTATCATCACTCCTATTGGGATACTGTGAAGATCTCTCTTCTTCTCATAGACATAAACAAATGGTCCTACATGCATGACTTATGACAAAGGTGACGCTGCAGTACACTGGGTCAACTGACATGGCAAAACTGGATTTTTGGCATCTTACCTTAAAATATTTTAAAATCAATTCCAGAATGGTTGTGGGTCCGAGTGTGAAAAATAAAACAAGGAAACATGGGAGAACATCTTGACCTTATGCTAAGTAGACATTGTCAAAATGAGACATAAAAATTGCTAATAATATAAGAAAAAAAGTGATAGACCGGAGTTCACTAGGAGTTTCTATTCATTAATTGTACCAGGAAGAAAATCAAAAGACAAACCACAGAAGATGAGAGTGTTTTTGGGAACTACATAACAAAGGACTCTTCTTCCAGAATATATAAGGAACGTTTACAAACCAGTGAAAAAAAGCCTTGGACTGGTAATGTAAAAGAGAGGGATTTATCCAGGCTTTACCTGCTGCACCACAGCACAGGCCCCTTTCCACGAGCTTTTTAAAGTACAATTGTACATGCAACAGAGATGACTCCCACAATCAATAGTGAGAGAACAAAATGAGACACAAAGAATTCATACAGTATATCAATTGACATAAACTTCAAAAGGGGGAAAAATCTTTGTACATATACCCACAAAGACCAAAACTTCAATAAAAAAAACATTTACTTAAAACTGCACAATCATACCAGAAGTAAGTAACATAAGTCCTTGGGGAATGGATGTGGGAGAAGGAGTTTTTAAAAGAAGAACAAGTAACCTGTGGTAGCACAGTGATTTGTACATGGCAAGCCTTCAGTACTTTGGCACTATTGATCACTGGGCTTTATTGTTAACATTTTAAAAATATTTGCCAATTTGCTTGGTTAAAACCGGTATTTCATATGTATTTTAATTTGCCTTTATTTGATGACAGCTAAGAATGGCTATGTTTTCAAATGTTCAATGCCCATTAGTTTTCCCCCTATGAATGACCTCTTCGTTCTTTTTATCCATTTTCCTCATGGATTTGTATTGACTGTTCATTATCTGTAGAGAAAGATAACCTTTTCTTTTCATGTCTGCCCACTGGCAGCAAAGGCTCAGTATACAGACTACATCCAGCTGCTGCTCAGTTGATCCTCACTGTGTTCTGCTCAAGTAAACGGTGATAGGTGCTTGGTGTAGCAGTTGAGATACCATTTGAACTCCCATATTGGAATGCCTAGTTTGAGTCCCAGTTCTGTTTCTGATTCCAGCTTCCTGCTAATGCACACTTGGGAGGCAGCAGGTAGTAGTTGGATCCCAGCCAACCACATGGTAGACCTGGATGGGGTTCCAGCTCTTGGCTTCTGTCTAGTCCAGCCCTGGTTGTTATTGGCATTTGGGGAGTGAACCAGCAAATGGGATATCTCTCTGAGTTTTTTCTATGTTTCTCTACCTTTCAAATATAAGGAAAATAAATAAAAATAATAAAGTGCATATATTTAAAAAAAAAAAGTCATAAGGCAGGTATCCGTCTTGGTGGTTAAGGCACTGCTTGGGATGCCTACATCCCACATTGGAGTGTCTGGGTTCAAGTCCCAGCTCTGTTTCTGATTCCAGCTTCTTGTTAATGTATATCCTGGCAGGCAGCAGGTATTGGCTCAAGTGTTTGGGTTCCTGCCACCTACGTGGGAAACCCAGATGGAGTTCCTGGCTTCTGGCTTTGGCCTGATCCAGTTTGCCTGTTGTGAACATTTGGAGAGTGAACCAGCAGATGGGAGATCTGTCTCTGTCTATCTGTCTCTCTGCCTTTCAAACAAAATGAAAATAAATAGATAAAAAATTAAAAGAAATTTAAGTCAGAGAGCACCAGACATGGCATAATGGGACTCTGAGCCAAGCAGCTACACACTTCTGAGAGATTTGGAACTTAAAGTTAGAGTCATATCACTTACAATCAAATCTGCAAGAACACAAGACAACATGGTATTGAACCCTGTGGAGACAATGGTACTACTTACCTGTAGTGCAGGAAGACGACTTTGTTGGTTAGGAATTACTTTTAATGAGATAATTCCTTTGGTTTCTTTCTATTAAAAAAGAAAGGGGAAGTTAAATTGTAAGGAAAACGAATTTAGATGATTGAGGATTTTATAAAGTCACCCCCTTCCCGATCAAAACCCCAGGCTTTTCCCTCTCAACAGCCATCTTTCATTTAGAGACTATAAGACAGTCCTGTCTTTAACATAAAATTGCCATGTGCCCCCACAAATCAGCCTTACAATAAGAAGAGATACAAAGAATAATACCTTATAGCCACACTTTGTCCTCTACGTATTTTTGTTTGGTTTTTAAAAAAATAACAATGGTATACATTGCTATACATTGTTATACATGACTCTGTAATTTGCTTTACTTTAACATTACTTCATGGGCTTACTTATAGATTGATATGTGGCAATATCATTCATTATTTCTTTCATACAATCTGCTGCATTACATTTCCTTAAACATAGATTCTTAGGTATTTGCATTTAGAACTCTGTGGTGCAAATGCAGAATATAATGGTATGAGCATTTTGAATTTTAACAGCTATCTTCAGATTACTTGTCCAAAAGAGTATACAGGAGGGTCCTTTTCTCTAAAATTCTTGGCAAAATTGCATATTAATATTCCTTTGTGATTTCTGTCAATCTGATGGGTAGAAAACATTCCACAGTTTGTTTATTTTTTAATTTTGTCATCATAACTAAAGTTCAGCATCTTTTCTTTATTTGATTTAATTTATTTAATTTCTTTATTTAATTAATTTATTTAATGGTGATTCTTTCACCTATTAGTTTCCACCACAGCATTTTCTTTCCTAGGCTTTTATTTGCTGAAGGGAATTGGGCTATGGGTCCCCTAGATTTTCTGACAGTGGGATTCTGCTTGCTGTACTCTAACATGACTCTTGCTCTTCTATAGTACCTATTAATTAGAAGCTTAATCTAGAAAAAGGTTTGATCAGACTCATGGCCAATTTTTTGTCAAGACAATTTCAGAGGTGGTGTGTGTTCTGTCAGTCTGCTTGTTTTCTCTTTTTGGTGACAGCAGCAGCTGCTGCTGTTCAATGCTTAGCCCATTAATTTATTAGAAGTTGTAAAAGGGTGGTAAACTAACTCTATCATCCTTCATTTAACAGCCAGAATAATTACTTCGAGAAGGTTTCCACCTAATTAACTCCTACTATCTGGTTACCCACTGGTACAGTTGATAGAGGAAAAAAAAAAAAGGATAAATGCATGAAAGTAATGAAATGGTCCTTTCACACGCTTCAGATAATTTACATATAAATACTATAAGTAACCTACTTTAGAGTTATATTTAAAAATAATCCCCTAGGGTGCACATTGTGGCACAGCAAGTTAAGCTGCCACTTGCCACACCCACATCCCATAATGGAGCACCAGTTTGAGTTCTGATCTAGCATCCTGTTAATGTACCTGGGAAGTAGCAGAAGATGGTCCAGGTGCTTGATTACTGGCTACCCATGTGGTAGATCTGGATGGAGTTCCTGGCTCCTGCCTTCAGCCTGGCTCAGGTACAGCTGTTGTGGCCATTTGTGGAATGAACCAGTAGATGCAAGATCTCTCTGTCCCTCTGTCCCTCTGTCCCTCTGTCTCTCTGTCTCTCCTCCTCCCTATTTCTCCATTCTCTGTCACTCTGCCTTTCAAATAAATAAATAAATCTTAAAATAAAATACTCCTTTGCCTTTTACATTCATTTGCCATGTTCCTGTCCAATCTATATCTGATTGTTAATTTTCTTTCATCTGCTTGCTTTGAGTTTTATTTGTTCTTTTTCTATTCTCTTGAGGTAGAAACTGAGGCTACTGATTGCAGACTACTCTAAAATAGGTGTTCAATGCAATGAATCTCCCCTTTGGTATTGCTGTTATTGGTTTTCATTTTTACTCATTTCAACATATTTTCTAATTTCCCTTATGGCTGATTGTGCAATTTAGAAGTGTGATATTTAATTTCCAACTACTTGAAGACCTTCCATATTATTTTTTACTTCTTTTTTTAAAAGATTTATTTATTTATTTGAAAGTTTGAGTTACACAGAGAAGGAGAAGCAGAGAGAGAGAGAGGTCTTCCATCCATTGGTTCACTCCCCAATTGGCCGCAACGGCTGGAGCTGCGCCCATCTGAAGCCAGGAGCCAGGAGCTTCCTCCAGGTCTCCCACACAGGTGCAGGGACCCAAGGACTTGGGCCATCTTCTGCTGCTTTCCCAGGCCACAGCAGAGAGCTGGATCAGAAGCAGAGCAGCCGGGACTTACTGGCGCCCATATGGGATGCCGGCACTGCAGGCGGCAGTTTTACCCGCTATGCCACAGCGCCAGCCCCTATTTTTTACTTCTAATTTAGTTTCATTATGGTAAAATAGGGTGCTTTGTGTGATCTGAATCTTTCTAAATCTGTTGAGACTTGTTCTGTGACCTAGCATATGGTCTATCCTGGAGAATGTTCTGTGTGATGAAGAGAAGAATGTGTTCTTTGCTGTTGCTGGATTGAGTGTTCTGTAGATATCTGTTAGGTAGAGTTGATTGCTAGTGTGATTTGAGTCTTATACAAACTTCCTGATTTTCTGTCTACTTGTTCTGTCAAGTTTTTTTATCTTTTCTCAAAGATAACATTTTTAATTTACATTATAGTCAAAGGCTAATGCTCCATTAAATAAAGATTTCAACAAATAAAAAGTAAAAAAAAAATTTCAGCAGGAAAATAGGCAAGGGCTATAAACAATAATCAAATGAAAGGATGTTCAACTTTACTCATAAAAATTTTAAAATAGTCAAAAATCATTAAAACTATAACAGTACATAATTCTTAACACTGACAAAGCTTGAAGGACATCATGTTGAGTGAAATAAGCTGGACGCAGAAAGACAAATACCATATGTTCTCACTTTATATGTGGGAGCTAAAAATGTTTTTTTATTTTTATTTTTATTTTTTGACAGGCAGAGTGGACAGTGAGAGAGAGAGACAGAGAGAAAGGTCTTCCTTTGCCGTTGGTTCACCCTGCAATGGCCGCCGCGGCCAGCGCGCTGTGGCCGGCACACCACACTGATCCGAAGGCAGGAGCCAGGTGCTTCCTCCTGGTATCCCATGCGGGTGCAGGGCCCAAAGACCTGGGCCATCCTCCACTGCACTCCCTGACCACAGCAGAGAGCTGGCCTGGAAGAGGGGCAACCGGGACAGAATCTGGCGCCCCAACCGGGACTAGAACCCGGTGTGCTGGCGCCCAAGGTGGAGGATTAGCCTAGTGAGCCGCGGCGCCAGCCTAAAATTGTTTTTAAAAAATTTAAAAAAAGAGGAGGGGCGGGTAAAGCCACCACCTGCAGTGCTGGCATCCCATATGGGAGCTGGTTTGAGTCCCAGTTGCTCCACTTCAGATATAGCTCTCTGCTGTGGCCTGGGAAAGCAGTACAAGATGGCCCAAGTCCTTGGGCCCCTGAACCCACGTGGGAGACCTGGAAGAAGCTCCTGGCTCCTGGCTTTGGATCGGCACAGCTCTGGCCCTTGCGGCCATCTGGGGAGTGAACCAGCAGATGGAAGACCTCTCTCTCTGTCTCTACCTCTCTGCCTCTGCCTTTCTGTAAATCTGTCATTCAGATAAATAAATGTCTTTAAAAAAATAAAATAAAATAAGGGCTGGTGCTGTGGCATGGTGGGCTGAGCCTCTGCCTGCACGTCGGCATCCCATAAGGGCACCAGGTCTAGTCCCGGCTGCTCCTCTTCCCATCCAGCTCTTTGCTATGGCCTGGGAAAGCAGTACAAGATGGCCCAAGTCCTTGGGCCCCTGCACCTGTGTGGGAGACCTGGAAGAAGCTCCTGGCTCCTGGCTTTGGATTGCCCAGTTCTGGCTGTTGCAACCGTTTGGAGAGTGAACCAGTGGATGGAAGACCTTTCTCTGTCTCTCCCTCTCTCTGTTTGTAACTCTACCTCTCAAATAAACAAACAAAATCTTTTAAAAAATAAAAAAAAAACACAAAAAGAAAGACATGCCTGTGTGTATCAGTTTTGCTGCAAATACACTGTTTTGTTCTGTCAATTATTAAGATAGGGTCCAACTACTCAGTGTCATGACCTGACCCTAAAAGACCCAGTGGACTTGCAAATGCTCAACCCAGATAGAAAGTGCCCTTGATGTGGCCCAGAACTCTACAGGTCTATCAACAACAGCTGGGCCATACTGTAAGTTTTCTATGTGTCACTGTTGCCATAGTAACCGAGTACTATAGCTGGCTGATCTTCCAACACCTTGTCTTCCACTTGAATAGCCAGGAATTTATTTTCATGTGCTCATCTACAAACAGCTGAATCTCAGAATCCCATTTTGAGGGTTGGTTTCTTGATGCTACTCCTGGTACTAATTACAGTGTTACTCAGGACCCTGGTAAGAAATTGATGATGCCTTCAATAATGGTATTTAAAGAAACCTTAATGAAAGAACTATTCCCAAAAGTGTGAGCACCCTCAAGGGACTGAGCAAGGGATAGTGTGAAACATCCCAGGATCAACATCTTGGAGAAGCCATCACCACTAGTAGGCCAGAAAAGGCAGAAGGAACTCACTGCAAACTGAACCCACAGGACAGGCTCTGGCTTTCAGCACACTTGTCTGCCAAGGAAGCAGTAGGAATATAAGGTGTCTTTAAAAAGTTCATAGAAATGCATACTAGAAAACTGCATAAATTTCGACTGTCTTGTACTAAAATAAATTTATCTTTTAATTCCATTTTCCCACAAACTTTTTGACATTCCCTTGTATAAATAGCCCTTTTCATCTTCTAATTTGTTGATGAGTCAACAGGAGCCTAACTGATGCAGGCCTGTGATTACTATATTCAACTAACTTATAGATGAGGAAACAAAGACAGAAAAGTTAATTCACCTGCTGAAAATCATAGAGTGGCGGAGTTCAGAGCTGCCATTAAAGACCAAAGTCTGGGGCTGCCATTGTGGCATAGCAGGTTAATACACTGCCTGTGATGCCAGTATCCCATATGTGCACTGGTTCATATCCCAGCTAATGTACCTAGGAAAACAGCAAAGGATAGCCCAAGTGCTTGGGCTCCTGTCACCCATGTGACTGAGATGAAGCTCTTGGCTTTGGCCTGGCCCAGCACTGGTTGTTGCAGCCATCTGGGGAGTGAACTAGCAGATGGAAGATTTTCTCTTTCTCTCTCTCTCTCTCTCTCTCTCTCTGTCTCTAACTCTTTCAAATAAATAATTAAATAAAAAGTGAAAGGACAGAAAAAAACTTTAAGAAAAAAAGACCAACGTCTAATTTGATTCCTGGTGCAATGTTCTTTACGGGTCATTTACCCTGATTTATAATTTTACTAAATGAAAGCAGATAATTGTCATTTCTTGTAAAGAACAGAATCAGCCCTGAAGGCATGCGGATCCGGCTGAAAAGCCCATGAGAGTATTTCAGGCATGGAAAGCCAAGACACTCTGGAAAAAAAAAAAAAAAAACTAAATGAAAGATCTCCGCAAGTGAGATCCCAGTGGAAAGAACGGGTCATCAAAGAAGGAGGTACCTTTCTCTGAAAGGAGGAGAGAACTTCCACTTTGACCATGGCCTTGTCTAAATATGATCAGAGTCGGTGAACTCAAAAGGTCCCCATAGCCTTGGCAGCTCATGACAAGAGCCTAGGGTGATTACTGATGCCATAAACAAGAGTGTCAGTTTGTTAAGTGAACAACAGGAGTCACTGTGCACTTACTCCTCAGGTAGGATCTCTGTCCTTAATGTGCTGTACATTGAGATTTAATGCTATAACTAGTACTCAAACAGTATTTTTCACTTTATGTTTCTGTGTGGGAGCAAACTGTTGAAATCTTTACTTAATGTATGCTAAACTGATCTTCTGTATACAAAGAGAATCGAAAATGAATCTTGATGTGAATGGAAGGGGAGAGGGAGTGGGAAAGGGGAGGGTTGCGGGTGGGAGGGACGTTATGGGGGGGAAGCCATTGTAATCCATAAGCCGTACTTTGGAAATTTATATTCATTAAATAAAAGTTTAAAAAAAAAGAACAGAGATTAGCAGTTATAAGAATCCCCTCAGTAAGTTACAAATATTTTGACAGAAAAGTGAGGTATGCTGGCGCCGTGGCTCACTAGGCTAATCCTCCGCCCTGCAGCGCCGGCACACCGGGTTCTAGTCCCGGTCGGGGTGCCGGGTTCTGTCCCAGTTGCCCCTCTTCCAGACCAGCTCTCTGCTGTGGCCCGGGAGGGCAGTGGAGGATGGCCCAAGCGCTTGGGTCCTGCACCCCATGGGAGACCAGGAGAAGCACCTGGCTCCTGCCTTCGGATCAGCGCAGTACGCCGGCCGCAGCGTGCTGGCCGCGGCGGCCATTGCAGGGTGAACCAACGGCAAAGGAAGACCTTTCTCTCTGTCTCTCTCTCTCACTGTCCACTCTGCCTGTCAAAAAAAAAAAATGAGGTATGTAGAAAATACCTACCATTGCCTTCTGCAGCTGATCTACTGAGTGATTAGTCACATTTGTGCCATTGATTTCCAGGATCTCATCCCCCACATGAAGGGAACCTGCCACAAAATGAAAATTAATCCACAAAAGAGAAGTTCAAACAGGAGCTGTCAATATAACAAATAGAGAGAAACCATGTTACATGGTAGGCTGTGTAAAATCCTCAGGATTGAAAACATTCAACCATGGGGGTCAGTGTTATGGTGCAGCAGGTTAAGCCACTCCCTACAATGCTTGCATCCCAGACAGGAGCACTGATTCAAGTTACAGCTGCTCCGTTTCCCATGCAGCTCCCTGCTAATGCACCTGGGAAAGCAGTGGAGGAGAGCTCAAGTCCTTAGGCCCCTGCCATCGATGTGGGAGTTTCAGTTCAGTATTTCTTTATTGTTTAGCTAAAACTCCAAAATACTATCAAAAGGTCATCAATATTATATCCTATGTAAAGAGTGGTTACCAACATACATGTCCCTTTGGATTAAAAAAATAAAAACCATAACATAAAGGGGTAGGAGTTAATGGGTGTAGAAAAAGTACTCTTCTTGAGTAGCCATTACCCCAGTACTAGGAAAAGTCCCAGGTATGGCTCAAAGTATGGAATGAATCAGGTAGCCAAATGCAGACTATCGGTCAGCTGCTAAAAACATGCTGCATTTTCACATATTATTCTGTTCTTTCATTACTCTCCAAAATAGGTTTACCAAATGACATATTTGAAAAGTGATGGCCATTTAACATTAAGGACATACAATAGTCAAGCAAGACAGAGGTGGTCTTGCTTCTTCGCTGCTCTATATTCAAAGTCTAATAGCTCAAATATTAACTGGAAAAATATACTAATACAAATATGATAAGAAGGAGAGATTATGGCACTGAGAAATTCACACTAAGATCTTATCATGTAATTATTCTATACACCCAGTTATTAAGCTACAAAAAGAAAGCTTGTCATACTCCCAAAAATGCTACCAGTTTGGAGAATTCTAAGTTTAGTGTCCCATACCACTGCATTAGGAGTAAATGATTAACCTCTGAATAACACATAATCCCCACAGAGTACCTTGTCTATGAATCATGCCACCATGAAGAATTCTGGCTACAGTACAGGACTGCTTTTCATTCAGCTTCAGAGTGATTCCCTGAAAGGTAATGACATAGTAAGCTTTATTTATCTATTTTTAAAGATTTATTTGATTAATCTGAAAGGCAAAGTTATAGGGGGTGGGTGTGGGGAGCAACTGGGAGCAACTCGGACTAGACTGAGTTACTGGAATTAAGACTTATTCTATGCATCTGCTCTCCCACAATATGGCGCTGGGAGAGGAGAAAACAGCTTCTACGCAGCTGCCTCTTGCCAACTTGAGTGATGACCTCCAGGAGCTGATCCTGCTCCTGATTGGAGGAGAGCAGCGTACTCGGCGTGTGGGCAGCAGAGTTAGGATTGGCGGAGGAGGACTATAAAGGAGGAGAGAGACGGCATGCACCAGGAACATCTAAGGGGAACACCTGTGCAGCCTCTGAGAGAGCCGGCCTGCGGTGTGCTGCTCTCTCACGGAAGTGGGGAAGGTGGCAGGGGGAACTGCCCTTCCACGGAGGTGGAAGGGACGGTAGCCAACCCGGGAAGAACCAGCAGCAAACCCGGGGAGGGCCGAGCAGACGAAAGAACAACGCAGGGTCCTGTGTCGTTCCTCCACGAAGACGAGGAGCGACATAATGGTGCCGTGACTCGGATATGAAGCCTAGGCAAGGTTTAGTGTCGTTCCTCCATGAAGAGGGGGAGCGACAGGTGGGGGTGGGGGAAAGAAAGAGAGAGAGAGAGAGATCTTTCATCCAATGGTTCACTCCTCAAATGCTTGCAACAGCAGAGGATGGGCCAGGCCAAAGCCTGGAGCCTGGAACTCCATCTGGATCTCCTACATGGGGAGTGTTTGTCAAGGGGCCCAAGCACCAGAGCCACCATCTGCTGCTTTCCTAGGTGTGTTAGCAGGGAGCTGGATCAGAAGCAGAGCAGCTAGGAGTTGAACCAGCACTTAAATGGGATGCTGGCATTGCAAGCAGTGGCTTAATCCACTGCTCCACAAACACCAGCCCCAGTAAGTTTTATTTTAAGCTCTGAGGTTGCCTTTAAAACAACTTACAGCAATTTCTCAAGAAAAAGATTTTCCCTTTATACCCAGGAGAGTCCTCAACCAGAAGAGTCATGAAGCATGCTTTGAGGAGGAACTTGAGGTGGGTACCAAGAGACACAATGCTAGAGGTGGCTGATTCCTAAACTCCCTAGTAATCCATGGGATGGAGAGTAGGTGGTGAGTGACAATATGACAAGCAGTTACCATGGGCTCCTCTGTGACCTTCTCGAACTGTATAAGTCGCACTTTCCGCACCTCCTGTCCCTTAGCCTGGTCAGGGCTACCTGGGGCAGCAGACCCATTGGTGTACATGTCTTCAGTCACAGCATTCAACTGATGTGACACAGCCTGCCAAATCAAAACAGCACAGCAATGTATGAAATAAGCAACAAAGGCCTATGGTCAGCCCGTAATCTACAGTTTTCAAATCCAAAAGGCTCTGAAAATTCAGCTTTTTTCATCAATGTGGCATCAGATCTCATTTCAATGGATGTGAAGCCATTTGCAAGCTTTTCTAGGTCAGTGCAGAAATAGTACATCAAACAACATGTCTGATGTACAGGGTGCTCCTTGGGATGCTGCTGGGGGCATTGCATACTATGTAATGAAGTGTTTAAAACTGTGAATCCTAAGGCATCTCAAGCCCTTAATGAGGTGGGCAAACATTTACTAAACATGATTTCAGAGAAAAAAAATCATCAAAGAACTGACTTCATCAAAACCAAAAACCTTCTCACTGAAAGGTTCATGAGAAACTGGAAAAATACGGCACAGCCTGCAAGGAAAAACTTTCACTACTTACCTTTGACAGAAAACTTATATCTAGAACATATAAAGAACTTAATAACAAGATGACACACAATGAAAAGAAGACTCTCCCAGGTAAGATAGCAAAGCCAATAAGCACATGCAAAGGTGCTCGATGCCACTGTACTCATGGAAATACGAATGAAAACCACTACATGCCCAATAGAGTAGCTAAAATGAAAAACACACATGACCTCAGCTGGTGGCACTCTCACCCACTGCAGGTGGGACTGGTCAATGGGGCAGCCACTGTAGAAAGCAGTGTGGCAACTTATGTGTTTCCTTTTTAAAATTTTTGTATTTATTTGAAAGGCAGAGTGACAGAGTGAAAAGGTGAGACAGACAGACACACACACAAAGAGAGAGAGAGAGAGGGAGAGAGAGAGAGAGAGACAAAGATCTTCCATCCACAGGTCCACTCCCCAAATACCCGCAACAGCCATGGTCAGGCCTAAGCAAAAGCCAGGAGCCCAGAACTCCACCCAAGTCTCCCACATGGGTGATAGGGAAATACTTGAGCCACCATTCGCTGCCTCCCAGGTGCATTAGCAGGAAGATGGATCAGAAGTGGAAGCATAACTTGAACCCATAATGCAATAGGGGATGTGGACATCCCAGTGGCAGCTTAACCCCCTGGGCCAACCACATCTGTGCCTTGCAGCTTCTTAATGTTACTTACTCAAAGGTCCAGGAGAAATAAACACATGCCTATAAAATGACTTGTACATGAATGTTTATAGTTGTTTTATGTTCAAAATAGCCACAACATGGAAGCAACCCAAATGTTAATCCATTGTAGTCCATCCACAAAATAGAATAGTACTCAGCAGTAAAAAGGATCAAACAACCAATATGTGCAACAATATGGATGGATCCCAGAAACATGCTCCTGAAAGAAGCCTTATGAAAAAATACATATTGTATGATAGAGTTTATATGAAGTTTTGGAACAAGAAAAACTATCGTTAAAACTGTGGTTGCCAGGCCGGCGCCGTGGTTCACTTGGCTAATCCTCCACCTGCGGCACCGGCATCCCAGGGTTCTAGTCCCAGTTGGGGCACCAGTTCTGTCCCGGTTGCTCCTCTCCCAGTCCAGCTCTCAGCGGAGGATGGCCCAAGTTCTTGGGCCCTGCACCCCATGGGAGACCAGGAGGAAGCACGTGGCTCCTGGCTTCGGATCAGCGCAGCGCCAGCCGTGGCGGCCATTAGGGGAGTGAACCAATGGAAGGAAGAACTTTCTCTGTCTCTCTCTCACTGTTCATAACTCTTTCTCTGTCTCTCTCTCACTGTCTAACTCTGCCTGTCAAAAAAACCCCCCCAAAAAAAATCCCAAAAAAAAGAAGCTGTGGTTGCCTCTGACAGAACAGGGAAAGGATTGACTGGGAAAGTATGAGAACTCTCTAGAATGCTGGTAATGTCCTAAATCATGACATGGAATTGGTTATACACGTGCATGCACTTGTTTAAATCCATCCAATGGCCGGCGCCACGGCTCACTAGGCTAATCCTCCACCTAGCGGCGCCGGCACACCGGGTTCTAGTCCCGATCAGAGCACCGGATTCTGTCCCGGTTGCCCCTCTTCCAGGCCAGCTCTCTGCTGTGGCCAGGGAGTGCAGTGGAGGATGGCCCAGGTGCTTGGGCCCTGCACCCCACGGGAGACCAGGATAAGCACCTGGCTCCTGGCTTCTGCCATCGGATCAGCGCGGTGCGCCGGCCGCAGCGCACCGGCCACGGCGGCCATTGGAGGGTGAACCAACGGCAAAAGAAGACCTTTCTCTCTCTCTCTCTCTCACTGTCCACTCTGCCTGTCAAAAAAAAAAAGTATAAATCCATCCAATGATACAGTTAAGATTTGTGCATGTCCTTATATGTAAATTTTATTTCAAAATTTAAAAAAGAGCCAAAGGCAAATATTGAACTCTATCATTTTACTTTGAAATGTCAAAAAGAGTGGGTAGATGGATGCTTTGGGGATAGATGTATGATAAAGCAAGCATAGCAACATCTTTTTTTAAACAAAGATTTATTTATTTATTTGAAAGGTAGAGTTACAGAGAGCTGGAGACAGAGAAAGAAAAAGAGAAGTCTTCCATGCTCTGGTTCACTCCCCAAATGGGCACAACAGCAGGAGCTGGGCTGATCTGAAACCAGGAGGATGGAGCTTCTTTGGGTCTTCCAAGGGGATGCAGGGGCCCAAGGACTTGGGCCACCTTCTGCTGCTTTCCTAGGTCAATTAGCAGGGAGCTGGATTGGAAGTGGAGCAGCCAGGACTCGAACTAGCACCCACATGGTATGCCGGCACTGCAGACAGTGGTTTTACCTACTATACCACAGTGCCAGCCCCAAGCAACATCTTAATTATAGAATCTAGGAAGCATGGCTATATGAGTGTTACTATAAAATGTTTTCATCTTTTCCATAAGTTTGAAAATTTGCAAACAAAATATTGGGGGAAGATGGCATTAAGAGAGTAAAAAGGCAAACCATACAGTAGTATACCTACACTGAGTGTAAACTGGGGAGATCACATTGAGGGCCTCTTCCAAAGGCGGTCACATCATGCATACCCATAACTCATTCATTCCACTCCCATGTGCACCAAAAATTATGGACAGCAATGCATTGTAGCACTATTCTTAAAAAGTTATAAAATGTAAATTTTCAGGTATCTTTTACCCTTAAATGCTTCTGTTGTGTTTTCTGAGAACAAAAGCATTCTCAAAACTTAATATTCAACATGGATATAATATTATCACCTGTACTCCATTCATATTTACATTTTATCAGCTGTCCTAATAATGCCCTTTGTAGCTATACATTTACCCCCAGACCCAGATCCAGTCCAGATCATACAGTTTTCATATGTCTATAGTCTCACTTAATTTGGAAAAATTCCTCAACCTTTCTTTGTTGTTCATGACCTGGCTTTCTAAAAAAAAAAAAAAAAAAAAAAACCACACACACTTTAAAAATGTATTTGAGAGCTGGGGCAGTGGGGAGAGAGAGAGAGAGAGAGAGAGAGAGAAACACCCATTGGCTGGCTCACTCCCCAAATGTCTGCCACAGCTAAGGCTAAAACCAGGAGCCAGGAACTCCATCCAGGTCTCTTCATGTAAGTGGCAGGAACCTAAGCACTTGAGCCCCCACTTGCCGCCTCCCAGAATCTGCATGAGTTGGAACTAGGCATCAAACCCAGGATGTATGCATCAACTGGCTTCTTAACCATTAGGCTAAATGTCTATCCCGACCTCGACATTTTGCAAAATTTATGTGTTTAAGAAATATGAGGAGGAGGGAGGGAAAGAGGGAGAGGAAGAGGGAGAGACAGAGGGAGATGGAGTTGGGGTGGTGGTGGGGAGAGTGGGAGAGATTGATTCCATCCACTCACTGGTTCACTCCTCAAATGCTTGCCCACTACAACCAGAGCTAGGGCAGGGACTGAAGTCAGGAGCCAGGAATTCCATCCTAGTCTCCCACATGGGTGACAGGGACCCAAGTACTTGAGCCATCACTTGCTGCCTCCCAGGGTGCCCATTAGCAGGCAGGTAGAATCAGGAGCTAGGGCTGGTATCTACCCAGGTATTCCATGGGATGTAGATGTCTTAAGGTAAGCCAAATGCTCATCACTGGACCTTGATATTTTTGAAGAGGACAGACCTATTTTTTGGTGGATGTATCTCAAATTTGGGTTTGATGTTTTCTCATGAGTAGACTGAGGTTACACATTTTGGGCTGGACTCCCACAGAAGCAGTAGTATGCCCTTCTAAGAGCAACATTATTTTTAAAAGCCCAAACCTGGAAACATCACAAAAGTCCATGAATGGTAGGCTGGGTAAACTGGCAAAGCCATCCAAAGAATACGGCACACCAGTGGAAATGCAATCTCACAGATAATCACTCTCCTCTCCTGAAATGTGCCTTCTCAGCCTCCTGTGCTAGTTCTTCATCTTATTGATTTATTAGCACTAAAGCAGCTTGGAGTAAGAGCTCTGACAGTGGAGAAGGCCAAGTGGAAATCTGAAAAATTTCCCCATCTATCTCAGAGAAAATACTCAATCAAAAACAATCTGGCCAGTGGGAGGAGGAGGAACAGTCTGGGCTTGCTTTATGGAAAGGTCTGGTTTCTGGGTACAAGCTGAAAATGAATGGCAGTGGTACTCTAGCCATATCCAGGAATGATCCTCCAAATAACATTTTGATTTTAATATACTGCATTTTTTCTAAGGAGTCAATGGAAACTCTGATATGATGGTGAGGTTTGAAGTAGTGTGAGTTATTGGGTAACATCATATAAGGGAAGTACTGAGAAAGAGAAACTGCTTTGTCTAGCAACTAGAAGTTTAAAAGTCACATGATAACCAGTCAGATGGCATTACTGTCACAGATAGCATTGTACGTGGAAAACTGACGTGGTACACCTGGGAGCAATGAGAGGAAAGGTAACAGCATAAAACTGATATTTTTATAAATGCATAATCTATTAGGTTGATTCTGGGGAAGGGAACTGGGTACCTACAGAGTGGGTTGAGAAGGAAATTGT